ATATAAAAGGAAAGCAATCCACGAAACCTGCACCACCACACGCACTCCTCAACTCGACCTGGTCGGGTGGTTTGCAACTGTTGCTGGAAGAAGGACTCTGGCACCCACGCTGAGAGAACGAATAAACACTGGATGTACGAGGTTCTCGTGTTTGTTGGGTGCAGCATGTCTTCGAATTGACACAATTTTATCACTTTCAAGCGATGTGTTGGGACTGCAGCTCCTGCAGCTGGTTTGGTCACTCAGCCGTTGACTCTATAGAAGACCAGTTGACCAGTTCTCGCTCCGCATGCTCCGCACTCCGCGAAACGGCAGGTGCCCAAGGCATTTGTCACTTTTTTTCTCTCCATATATATAGTATAGCCTGAGCAAAGCCAAGTGCCTGAGCGGCGGAAGTAGTTGATCGAAGGATTGTGGTCCCAAGGCAATCTCAGACACTCCATGTATGCCATATAGATATATATGCCTACATTGACCCCCCAAAATCACCCCAACTGATCGGCATATATGGCAGTCCCATAAGATGTTTGGGAATGTTTTCAAGAGCGATTGGGGCACTAAGGAACATTTGTCAGATGAGTCCAAAGACTATTTCGACTGCCATACTGTTTATACTGTTTGGCAGGAAGAGGAATCATAGACATGTGCTGAGGCACTGCCAGAAGAATAGCACTGAGAGCTGTTTTGTGCGTATGGATCCACATACCTTAGAAGGTACTTGGACCCTCCTTCTCAGAAGGTATTCCACGTAGTTTCAGTGTCTTATCCAGCCTAAAGCAGTAGGCTTTCTCGATTAAGGACAGCTTCCGAAGGTAGACCTTCCATCATTGGAGCCTGTTTGGGTTCCTTCTTTTTGGACTCACCCCAATACCCCCCCATCCCAACAGGTTGAGAACCGACAATTGAGTCGTGTTTTGAAGTATTTATGACATATAAACAACTGTTAACATGTTAAACAACGGCAGCGGTTGATTTGCCTTCAGAGATTCAGATTCCATATGTTACAAGAACTTTAAGTGTGACATCGTATGACCACATCCGGTAAAACTCATAAACTGAGGTTTGTTGATGACCTGACCATCTAATTGATAGGAGCCTTGGGTTTTCCTGGGCCCCACGTGAGCGGGAGGGGAGATTTTCTGAGCTCCATTCATGTTCGCCACCCAAAAGGAGCTTGGCTACGGGGTCTTTGTTGGTCACAGGCAGTCCCAGAGCGCCTCACCACTTTGAGATTGGATGGGTTGAATATGGATGGATATGATCGGATAGGAGCACACCAAGCACAAAGCCAGTTGGGATGATTGATGTGGAGTCCATTCATAGAAGGTCAGGTGCTCCAGGAGGTTGATTGGATGACATCTTCAAGTGACTAGGTGACTAGGTGACTTGGGAGTCAGTCTCCTAGCGCAGTTGGCCGGGCGTTTTCACATCCTGGCTGGAAGCTTTGCCCAGGCTCCGAACAGCCTGTTTTGGACCTGAACGTGGGGGGGTTGGCAACTTGTTTGGGTAAGCAGGAACTGTCCTCTAGGATTCCTGACCCACCATTGATGTAAGGGTGCCCACCCAAAAAAGCAAATTGTTCTACTCAAGGGTGCTAGCCTGGTGAGAACTAGTCGAACCGAAGGTCTATAGCATACCCTAAGGGTCCAGGACCATCCTGAGGATGGTCTTGGAAGTGAAAGTACTTCCTGAGAGTGGTCTTTGGGGCCAAAGGACGTCCTCAGGACGGTCCTGGACTCCTGGACCCTTAGGGATACTATAGCACCAAGCAAGGTCGATACACCAAGCATGCATGTCGATATGGCACCTTCTTTCAACACCCCAAGAAAGCTGGCAGTCAGGTGGGACGCCTGTCCTGTTTGGGGTGCCAAACGGTCAGTGCCCACAGTTCCCCCCAAAAAAATATCTGACCTGTTTGGGACTGGGATCTGATGGGGTCAATGTAGGTCGGTGCCAGTCAACCAATGCTTGGGATAGGATCGCGGGGAGTTTCATCGATGGACCCTGGAGGGTTTGATATCAAGCAGTAAACTTTCAATCACGTTACCCGTTTGGGCTCCGAACGGCCCACCTCCGTTTCGAAGATGGGCCAGGGGTGGATACCAGGGGGTCGGGCACCACCGGTCACCTGAGGAGATGGGCCAGAAGCCCTAGGGTTAGTTGTGATGGAACAGCATGGGTTTGATGGAACGCTGGATGCGTGGCTTATGTGTTTCATGTTACTTTTTGGGCTGCAAGTTGTGCAAGAGTCTGCAAGAGCATTTCATCAACAAGCACAGACCAAGATGCGGCTTCTCAAAGCCGCCTACTGTATTTTGGAGCGCGAGGGTATTCATATGGGTTTGTTCGTCCAGTGGTGCAGGATTTGTCCATCAATATATCCGTCCTATGGAGTGCTTTCCAGTGACCCAAACGCAACCCGGATGGGACTGCCATGTCGGACTGCCTGGCAGTCCCATGGAGTGTATGGGTATAATGGTATATAGCCAGATCTGTAGGTTTTTCTTACCGACCTCGGACCTGGATCCATGACAAGTTGGTGCTTGTAGCTTCTAGGACGATTCCATGCAGCGACACGCTGTGTTGGGGGACGGCGCACACGATGACGCGGTAGTTCTGATTCTTTCACGTAGTGAGCCGTACTGTGTTTGTGGATTGACTTAGGTTGTATCTCAGCAAGCCAGTAACAGTCCGTAGAAGATCATCACAATTTTTGGGCAAGGCCTTTACTGACTATCATAACCCATTGGTGCTGGTAATGGGATTTTGTTGTGGTTCACGAATTCACCCATGTTACTTGAGGCGCAATGAGCTGGGGTCTCCATTTTATCCCTTTCACTTTACCAACCACTTGCTCTAGGCATATACTGGCACATACTGACACTAAACATGAAACTATCCACGCTCTATTCAATCTGTCTAGTCAGAAAAAGAATTGAACAAGTGCAGTTATTAGTATTAGGCAGCGGCAGAAACATGAGAATTTCTGTTTGGGAGTATTGAACCCTTTGGCTCATGGATCTCAAGCCTACAGGTGGCAATTGCTTCGCTCGATTTTTCATCAAGCGTCATTGTTGCGCGCCCCCGTTGCCCACAGCAGCCGCCAACGAAAGTAACCAAAAGAACTGCCTTTGGTCCACCGCCAGGGGGAGTGATATGCCACAAACTAGACTGATTGGTGATTTCATTGATTTCACAAGCAGAGTAAAGCCGAACTCATCTAGGCACATGTTGCAGTAGAATCACCCAGCACATTCTTCGTTGGCATGTGGCCCGCCTATTCCAACCTTGGTGGATGGTTTGATGGACTTCTTGACCTTTGTGGGGATTGGTTTCCCCACAAAAAAATCCAACAGATGGGAATAGAGAGAGGTTAACCCTTGGTTTTCGATTTCGGGCATCGGGAGTCGGGTGCATCTGACTGGCAAGACTGGGAGAAGACCTGCGCTAACAAGCTTGCGGTGGGTTCATGCTATCTCTAAACCTGATGGATCAGTTTCTTTGTCCGTTTTCATGGCCATTTTCATCAACGACTGCCGTTTTCAAAAGAAAGTGTTTGTTCAGCAATCTTTGAAAGATACACCAGCATCAGTGGCTGGCACCAACACAATGACACACAACACAGTCGTTCTGAGTTCTGGTATAGAACAGTGAGAAGCGGCACGCACAAACCCTGGTTCTACAGCACTGGTTTATCCAGCGCTTAGCACCATGGCACCAGTACGCTTGGTGCTCAGTCAGATGCCGGGACGCCTCGCCTTGCATGCTGTGGTCCCCAAATATTTGACCAGGGGCACGGTGTCCAATACAGTTTAAGTGAGGCTACGTCTTCAGTTTAAATAGCACGGTGTCCAAATCTATATACATACGGTGTCGTGGGATCTACTGTTCTATTTGTTTGGGGTTCTACATGTGCGCTTTGCGTTGCAAGAGATGTCACTTCACCAAGAAGAAGCACAAGACACTGACACTGGCTTCCATGACCCCGCAGTCGGTTCTCCCACTTGGTCTTGACATCCGACCAACCACATCCTCGTCGATTTCACAGCTGTGGACAGCAGGATTGAAAAGTCTTGCCGCAAAATCAATACCGCTGGGATGCTTTTGGTGGAATTGTGATACAAATCGATTTTCCATTAAATTTACGTTAAATGGATCCCTTCCTATATATAGCCGTTCAGGAGAAGAACGCGGTCCACGGGATTTGGTGACAGCAGTTGACCTCCCTCCCACCACCCCACCCGAGGTCGACGGTCTTTTTCAGCCACATCTTCGCCTGGAAGGCCAGGGCCTCCACTGAGACACTCGCGATTCTACTCTCCGGTGGATTGTGTTGAAGATCCTGGAGAGCCGGTCTTCCAACCCAAAACAGTTTGATCGCCCGAGCCGTTCCTCTTGAACAATAGATTAAGCATGATTAAGCTATATTAAGCTTACTGTCCCTGGAACTCACATGGAAGTGGAGTGAAAATCCTCTGTTTCTCAAGGAAAAGGATCTTCCAGTACTTCCATGTTAGTTCCAGGGTGTAAATGAGCCCCTTGATATTAAATTAATAATTGGACAAAAGGACAAACCCCACCGGCTGGATCATTGCCCGGGCCTCCACTGAGACACTCGCAATTCTGAATGTCCTCCCCAATGTTTTCGGAATATCGAGTGAACGCACCAATGGCAGCATGTCACTCTACGTTCCCCTTGCATCCAAGACAAATGATGTTACGAATCGGCATGATGTCAATGTCCTTTGGCTTATGCTGGCGCCACGAGGGCATAAGGAGATAGGAGTGAAACCTTCCAACAAAGATCCTTAATGCTCCAAGTGCAGCATGGTCCTCCCATACTATGGTCCCATACTTTATGACCCACTTGCACTGGCCAAGGGATTTTGGTAGGGACCAACATGCATCTTGGAAATGCCCAGGAGAGGTCCAGCTATTTTGGTTTAGTATGGACCTGCTGATGCAGAAGGCGCCAAGGGATGCCAAGGGCATTTTTGTGATTCACTTTGCCCATGAAGGATTTCATGTCCAAGGTCATTTCCTCAGTTAGTGACCATGTTGGTTTGTAGAAAGCAGACTGGTTCCTGTTTGTGAGTACTTGGCCCAAGCAGTTGAGAGTCTTCGGCCGACAAGTGGAATTCTGTTTCATCCCGCCAGCGGGTGAAGCAATCCAGCCAGATCAGGTACCCACGACATGATGGGTGCGGATGGCGATCAGAATCATGGCAACCGTGAGAATTCGTGGCTGCACATCAAGGAGGAGATCAAGGAGGAAATACAGCAGGACCAGATCGGTCCCTTGAGTGTTGCGACTACCACTGCTGAGGACGAGATCAAGCAGCAGGTCAAAGAGGAGGTGGAAGAGAAGGTGGAGTTGGGCCAAGATTCAGTCGAGCCCGCCACCACTCCTACAACCAAGCGCCGCCGCCTGACTCGAAGGAACATGCAGGGGAAAAGAGCAGCCACAATTGCCACAGAGACTCTCGCTCGGGCTTCTATCAAGAAGGAAAAACCTGATGATGATGATGTTCTAGTCAAGCAAGAGGAGAGTGATGACCAAGACGCCCATGCCCTGTGGCTTCAAGTGAAGAAGGAGATTAAGGAGGAGATGCATCAGGAGCAGATTGGTTGCTTGGGTGTTGGCACCACCATCGCTGGACATGAGGTCAAGCAGGAAGTTAAAGATGAGGTTGAAGATAAAGTCGACGCAGCCAGTCATCCAGTGGGTCTAGCCATCACTCCCAGAGCCAAACGTCGCCGCCTGACTCGATGGAACATGCAAGAGAAGCCAGCCGACACACGTACAGTGACTCAGGTTTGCATCAAGAAGGAGAAACCTGATGATGCTCAAGTCAAGCAAGAGGAAAGTGATGGCCAAGACACCCATGCCTTGTGGCTGCAAGTGAAGCAGGCGGTCAAAGAGGAGATGCAGCAGGACCAGATTGGTTGCTTGGGTGTTGGCACTGAGGTGAAAGAGGAGGTTGAAGAGAAAGTTGACACACGCAGTGATCCAGTGGGGCCAGCAATCACTTCAACTCCACCAAGCAAGAAGCGCCACTTAGCACGCAAGGAGACGAAGATCAAGAAGGAGAAAGGTGATGACCGAGAAGCTCCTCAGGACCAGCCTGATGAAAGCGAGATTAAAGAGGAGTTGGGCAAGAAGGATTCAACGGCTGACAGCATAAAGATCAAGGAGGAGCATATAGTGGATGCAAGTTCCATCCTTCCTCCATCGAAGGAGGCGGGATGTCAAACGATGGAAGAGGGGGCAACCCAAATCCAGGTTGTGCTTTGGGGTCCCTTCTATGCATAACAAAAAAGAAATACCTATAGATGGGCAAAGATGGAAGAGGGAGCAACACTTGGGGCACCCCTTCTTAGAGACTATTATGGTATAGCATAGCATTGACTAATGTTGACCAGTTGTTTATTTTTTGTCCTTTCCATCGAATCTATATAATAGTTCATCCAGGGTCCCTGAGCAAGAACCAAGAAATGCATAACAAAAAAGAAATACCTATAGGTCAGCAGAATTTCCAAGACCCACAGAACCGACAAGAAGTAGTGTGGCAAAAAAACCTGTTCAAGTACTATAGATGCCAACCCGCATACTGAGCGTGCAGGAGGGAGCGAGTGCTGATGATGCCTCCTTGGATACTTTTGCCGCAGCAGCAGCTACTTGGGCACAGCAGTGCCTCGCATTCCGAAAGACCAAGACGTGGACGCCGACCAGGCGCCGTCACTGACGCGTGTGACGCCGCGTTTGACGCACGACCATGGAAGAGGTACACTCCGTCCAACTAATCAGATGAAAAGGGCAAAACTACCATGTTCTACTTCCATGTGAATCATCCATATCCGTCGGGGAGTGTCAAATAGTTTGTTTGGGAGAGAGAAAAGCGGTTGACAAGAGAGCATCATTTGCCCCTGAGAGGTGACCAGTGCGTTGACGCACCGCAGGAAATCTGTTTTTAGTCCTTTTGTCGTGTGCATGATTGTCGTGGCTTCCTTGGCGATGCATGAATGGGACTGTTTGGGAGACTGAAGGTTCCCGAAGTGTTGGGGATTGAAATCAAGACCAAGGAATAGCAGTGGCCTGTAAACATACTAAATACCCTACAGGCCAAAGACCTCATTTACTGGGGTTGATCATGCACAAACACTATTCGGTTAGGTTTTCAGGACCAGGTTTTGATGGGTCAGACTGGTCATGCGTGCAGCCTTCAAGGCACTGGTGCATTGCCTAGACCCTCCGTGAAAACAGCCCTTTCCCGTCCCTCAAAACTGACCAGGATTGGCGAGAAACCCCAGACCTCCCCATACCGTATGAGTTTCCAAGAGCGTTTGGGTGGCGGGTGTTTTGTGCTTTTGTAGTTCAATCAGTCACAGGCCATGTTGTCCTGCCAACTTCTTCGTCGGCCCGGTGGATGGCATGCCAACAGCTCCCCCAGAAGATGCTCCAGCATGCGTGCAGCGGTTGTCTGCCTACCGTTTGCGGTGCCTTCGGCGATTCCACCTCAAGCATGATCCCCAAACGCTGCTCGCGGAGGAGGCACAAGGGCAGGGCTGTTGCATGTTCTTGAACACTGGCAGATCTGACAGGGACCAAGGCATACAGCGAAATACATTGAATACATGTTAATTCACATGGATTAACAATGATTAGCATGTAATTTACCCACAATTACTATCGACTATTTGACTACTATGTGGCCAAACCGTATGAGCTCGAGGAGTGCCACCTATAGTTTTTACTTCCGAATGACAAACGAGGACCAAGTGCCCTGACAGTGCAATTTGACTGAAATCTTTGGCTCCAAAGCCAGCTATCCATGACATGGATCATCGATCTTGCTCAAAATAGCCTGCGTGACATCGATCATCGTGTGTCCTTCCTTTTATAGTGAGAAGACCTTGTTTTGGTTTAAGCTCCAGATGGTGTTTTGGTGCAAAGCGTACTTTGTGAAGCTAGTTCCGAAGTGGGTTCCTTTCAACCTGTGCATCACATTGCTCGCTCTCAGAATAGCCCCCGCGTGTTTGCTTTTTATCCTGAGACTGGCTTGGTTTGGTTTGGACCTCCAGTTGTTGTTTTAATGAGCTTTGGAACTTCCTGTCAACTTTTCGACCGGCAGGTGCAGGTAGAGTCCCCGATGCGGCTTGCTTCACCCAAAAAAGACCGGGCACTATCACCTGAAGAGCTGCTACTGGCAGAAAAGGACTGGCGGATTGAAGGGTGCAGTTGCATTCCTAGAAATGTTTAGTTGGATTTAGTGGCCCACCATTGATTTAATGGGATGAATCCTCAACAACCACTAGTGTTGTGTTACTAAGCATGTTTTTGACTGCAAACCTTTGCTTGGCGAAAGTATTGAAGTTCGAAATGGGAATGCTGCCTTGTCACTTCAAAGCCAGGACATAAAGGTCCGTGGTTTGGACCTTATGAAGATGTGGCCGTGGATGAGGGACCTCCCAACTTGTTTGTGGGCTGGTCGTGGCTGGGCCTTCGATGAGAATGGTCTACGGCGCTTGTCCACAAGCGGCGGCAGCGGTGCCATGGAAGGTGTCGAAGTTTGGGACTCAGTTGGCCAAGCACCCGAAGAGGTGAAGCCAATGGAAGAGATCGTCAAAGAAGCCACGGCTGCAGCCACGGCAGGTAGCTCTTCAGAAGTCCCTGCGACATCAGAGAAACCAACTCGCTTCCAGAGGCACAACTCGGGGAAGCAGAGTGGGGTTCCAAATCTGAAGTGGAGCAAGAGTTGCTGGGCCTGGCAGGTCAGCTTCCCAACCTTTGACGAGAAGGGTAAGAGAACTGGCCACACAGGTCGGATGTTCTCCCTCAGCAAGTTCATGAAGGAGGGCCTCACCGAGGACGAAGCCGATGCCGCCGCGCTGGAGGCGGCCAAGGCCTTCCGGGCCGAGCTGGTGAAGCAGGGCGTTCTCAAGGAGCCGAAGCCCGTGGATCCCAACTTCACCAGCGAGGTGCCGGGGGTGAACTGGAACAAGAGGGACAAAAAGTGGCAAGTGCAGCTCGGAGCAAAAGGGAAGAAGAGGATTGGAGGCGGCTGCTTCACCGACAAGGCCGCCGCCGAGTCCAAGGCCTTGGAGCTCGCGAAGCTGCACGGCTTGGACCGCAAGGTGACGGCTGTGGGGAGCATCGCAGACAGACTGGCAGGGCTGCCGGTCTTCGAGGCGAAGGTGCCCTACCCCGGGGTGACCTGGGACCAAGGCGAGCAGCAGTGGCATGCCCAGTGCCAAATCAACGGCAAAACGCGGCATTTTCGTGTGAAGCCAAAGGACCACAGCGAGGCCGAGCTCGAGGCGTCCCACAAGAAGGCCGTGGCCTGGAAGAAGAAGCAGGAGAAGGAGAAGGAGAAAGCCGCCAAATAGTGATCTACTATGATTTACCGATTTCCCTTTCACCTATGCCAGCCAACTTTTAAGAACCTGAAAGTCTTTTTCAGACAGATCAGGCACGAGACAAAGACCAAAGTGATGCAAGAAGTGCGAAACAAGCTGACGGGTGGTGAAGAGGGAAACTGGTGAGGACGTCCTGCGAAATGAGATTGCTTAACTTGGCATGTTTACATTTATGATGTTTGGGGATGTTTTCCTATGTATGTTTTATACGTTGGTGAATTTGTTTGCATGTGTGCAGAGTGTTTGTCTTATTCTTGATTTGCTGGTGCTGATGCAACAGGATGTGGTTGGAACCAATCTTGTTGGAGGGCTCTGCATATACTGAACGTGCTTGTAAAGAATGACACACAGATGGCTTTGAGTGTTTGCCATTGATTTTTTGTGTTACACACGCTAGGGCAGCGGACCCCTACAACACCATGCGGATCCTGGCAGTGTCTTGGCTTGACGCCATGGTTCCTGGGGATTCACATCATTTATTCTAAATCATGGTCGGTGGTTTTGTTTCGTTTCAGAGAGAGATCAATAATATAGTTGGGTGAACCCCTCTAATTTGACAAAAGGATAAAGGATGAATCAGCTGGTGCGACCAGCTGGACCATCTAGTGAGACCAGCTGGATCATGCAGTAGCGTGAAAAAAACTTGCGTATGGGCTGGTGCCATAGATGGAACTTTGCCGGCGATTGGCTTGTTTATAGAGGGGATGCCTTAAGTTAATAACCTATGATTGACGGAAAGACTAAAGGTGAAGCAGCTGGTGCAACCAGCTGGATCAGCTAGTGGGAGACCAGCAAGCCTCCGATCACATGTCCTGTCCAGTTGTTCTTTCTTCGACCAACCTGACCAACCTTCGCAGTGCTTGGTTGGCGCGTTCGTGAGAAGTCAGTATGGCGAACAAGTTGTTCATTATCTAGCTCAACCTCCATCACAAGGTCAAACCTACAAATTGCCAAATACAACGTGGCGTTGTTTGTTCTGAATCAGGTTCTTCAAGCCCACACCAAGCAAACAGTGTCTTTCAGTGGTATTTCTCTCCATCCCCTTGGCAACGACAGAAACCTCCAAAACCTCCACTGCCCCGCATCCCCTAACCACACGAGCGGCTGAACCGGCCGACCGAGGAGATGTACCGGCACGGCTGACCGGCCTCCGCCAGGGCCACCGGGGCCGCTGAGCCCGCGGCCGGGCGCCTTGGAGCGGTGGAGGGCTTGAGGCCAAAATCAGTCGTCAACACAGAGTTCCTGCAGATGATGTAGACTGCTGATTTTAACCACAGTTCAATGTTAGCTACAGTTCAATCAGAGTTAAAACCTGTTCCTGAATCGGTAGGCTGGTTTTCCAAAGACTCTTGATTATGTTGCACCCCCCAGCCTCCCACGGGTCCTGAAGAGCATTGTTCAATCCATGTCTCCCGGGGGGGTTCAAAAGTCTACATGACACGACCTGTCTGGGACTGGCATATATACCGATCAGGCCAGGGGTGGTGCCAGGGGGGTCAACGGGGCGGCATACATGGCAGTCCCATGGAGTGTTTGGGTGATATTGTGGAGTCTGAATGTATAAATGAACACATCTGCCCCTCTCCCCCCCTTCATAGCAAACCATTGAAGGAGTTCATAGAAGGATTGCCCCAGAATTCACCTGCAGGTCACCTTTTTGAAGGGTTGAGAAAACCATTCCACTGTCCACTTCCAGTTACGTGCATTGCCTCATAGTAGCCAGGCTGCGGGAATCCCACTGAAACAATGGTGGAATAAGGTGAAACCCTGCGAAACGGACCTGGAGTCCAACTATTTACCGTACCCAAACAGTCTATGGGAGTGGCATATATCCATGGACCAGGCTGCTGGAACAAGGGGTATAGACGGGGCCTGCTAGAAGCTGATGACTGATGACCAACATCGAAGGAATCGAGGAAGTTGCACTGAATCGACAGCAGGTTCTTGTGCTACCGTACTTTGAGGCTTTTGAGGCCCTGACAATTGAAGGACTGAACGCACCACCTGGGGTGCCCACACAAGGGCACACAACAAGAGCGCCATGTTGTTTTGCAGTGATTGATTGTTTTGTATGTTGACACTGCGCAGAGCTTTCTAAAGCAAGCAACACAGTTTTTTTCCTATTTTTTCCTTGGCGCTGCTGACCATGACAGTGTTTCTTCATTCTAGACTTTCAATTGATCTAATAATCACATACGTTTGCGGGAGCTTCTTCGGTTTACCTCAGCCTCTCCAAGATGTGAGCGCGGACTTTTGTTGCGTTTCCTTTAGCCCAAAAATAATCACCGGTCTAGTGGGATTATCCCATATAATTTTAGATTGGAGGAGGCCCGGAGGAGGTGTCTTTGTTGCCTCCAAGTGACGTGTGAGGGAGCCACACAGCAAGCCTTTAGAAACCGTCATTGCAGGAGAAAATGCCCGTGGGTCTTTCCACCGGAGAACCTTGGTTGACCAACCAATTGTGGTAGACCCAGGTTGACAGACCCACACCCCAAATCAAGTTTGCGGGCGATGAACGGAACCATCTCCCTCTGAGGTGGAAAAGACGGACAGGTAAAGTCCTATCCGCCTGCCTCTGGCAAGCCCCAGGCGAGCGGGGAAGTGGTTGCTTTTTCCACGTGCCCACTCCTGTGAAACAGCACGACTAGACGCGAGACACCCGCTGATGCAGGGTGCCAACAATATGAAGAGCTGGGGTGGAACATGAGATCTTCGAAGATCTTCAGCATCTTGAGCATTTCTGGGCCAAAACTTGTGTCACCCATGCCTCGCACACCGTGGACCTCCGGTTCCACACTGCGATGAGACCCAGGAGGGCTCCAGGGGCCCAGGGGACTATAAAAGGCTTGGTTGGAACTAAGTCGTAGGGATGTCGTAGGCAGTTTGTCGGGATTATCACTTCAAACTTGTTATGTTAAATGTCTCACATTCGCCAATGTTAGGGGCTACAATCCCGACTTTTTTACCGTGACAGCGATGTTTTAGCAGACTTAAACCATCTTAAACCTATCACCTTTGAATGCATCGTTTGCCGTTTGATGGATGTTTTTGCCTACTCCTGGCGCTCCACACCGGGATCCTTCTACAAGGCGGTCTCGATACCACGCCTTGGGTTCGTGAGTTGGGGGAGCCTCAGGGTTCCACGGTCTCAAATATGTTCACCCAAAAGAACGAAACAATTGTTTTTTCCCAGACACTCCATGTATGCCATATATGCCTACATTGACCCTCAAACCACCCCAATGTAGGCATATGGCAGTCCCATGGAGTGTTTGGGTTTGTATGGCGGTTTCAGAGGTTGCTCCTTTGCCCCCCCACCTTTGGTGTCACGGCAGTGTGCCAAGAACGCATTCTCGCTGCATCCGCAGACGCCGATGCTTGGAATCGGACAGTGTTGGGTGGTTGAAGGTGCCCCAACCATGGCTGGATCATCCATATTGCCTGTTGCTTTCTTCCCCCGTCCAGGCGGAAAGCAGAGATTTCCAGATGAGAAGAAGGAGAAACTCTGAAATTTGCAGGTGATTCAGATGCAAAGCTACCGGTCTTTGAGTTTTGGAATCGTGTTGTGTTTTGGACATGGGGTGGATGTTGGCGATGTTGGCCAGTGCTGCCGGTGGGGTTTGGATTATATATCTGAGCGGTGGTTGTGGTGCCGGCGGTTTTGGCCAACGGGAAGGTTGCCTGTTCAAGGAGCACCTTAGAAGCACCACCCAAATATGTAGATATTGGCATGACATATGATAGAAGTGAAGAGTAGAAGAAGGTCGAAGTCGACAGGAGCACTCTTCGGTCATAAGCAGGAACGCTCACTTACTGCACATCATCGGCATTACTGTGGTGTGACGTTTAAGGATTTGACCAGGTAGATGGAACATGGTGGAATAGTAGTAACATATATTGTCTATAGTTGGAAATATTCGGCAATGTTTTTTTGGAAGTCCGCGATGGATTTTGGTCGCGACTCCCATGCATCTCGGAAGCGCCCAGGAAAGGTCCAGCTATTTCGGTCTACTATGGACCTGCGCTGATGTAGAAGGCGCAATGTGTGAATCTGTGGCAGATTTATTCACTTTGCCCATGCAGGAGTTCATGTCCATGGCCAGTTCCACGATATTTTTTACCTCACCCACATAGGGACCGCTTTGTTTCTGGAAGTC